ATCAACACTAATTTTATCAAGTGGAATTAAAATGCCCTGCCTATCTAACATTTCAAAAGTATTCTCCAGCTAAACCATATCCATAGCCACGCCCAGCAATGAGACTACTCTTTACCAAGCCTAATCACAATATTATATATACACAAACATTACAGTCTCAGTCTTACATTTCTAACACCCCCAAAACTGCCAGAGAGTTCGGTTATTAATTGGCTGGATCCTCAGCTGGTGTAAATCAATTGAGGTTAATGAAGCTAGGCTGGCTCACGCCAGCTGAGCCTCTGGCTCTAAGCGTTTGAATAAAAACAGCTGAGTTCGTTAATTATGTAGAAACACAGAGAATGCCCAACAGGATCAGACCAGCATCCAAATCCATAAATGGGATCTATACTCAGTGTTGCAATATCTATCATTTAGGCATCCTGACACCTAGGAGAATCTACCGAGTCAGGTGCCCAATCTCCCTATACAATACATAAGGAGAGTTAGGAGCCTAGTAGTAAATGCTGAGGGGAGGATTTAGGGCCTGGATCCACAAAGAGACTTAGGCGGTGTGGTGGTGCCCATCTTATAACTTTTAGCTCAGTGATTAGAATACTCATTGGGGATGTGGGGAAAAAAATCCTCCCTTCGGCCTGAGAGGGAGAAAGAATTTGAATAGGGGTCTCTCATGAGAGTACGCTAACCACTGCACTATGAACTATTCTGATGGGGGACTCCCTCAGTCTCTCCTGTTGAAGCTGTTCCACTGTACACTGGCACAGAGAGAGTGAGAATGACACTATATTCCAGTGATTAGGCACCCACCAGGAAGTGGAAGATCTAGGGTCAAGTCCCCCTACTCAGGCAAAATGACTGTAGATAGTCAATGTTCTCTAGATCATTTCTATAGACATGTCTATAACTTAATATAGGGACAAGATGGGCAAGGTACTCTTTTATTAGACCAACTCGTGTTTGTGAGAGAGTAGCTTTTAAGCTTTCACATACCTCTTCTTCAAGTCTGGGAACCCGAAAAAAGCTCCGTGTAAGCTTGAAAGCTTGTCTCCCTCACCAACTGAAGTTGGTCCAATAAAAGATGTTACCTCACACACCTTGTCTCTGTGATATCCTGGGACTGACAATGCTGCATATAACTTAATATGGATTTTTCTATTGTAAATACATTATTTTATCCAGAAATTATTTTTTACTAATAGAATAATTGTCAGATTACTCAGAATGCTGATGCATCATTCACAGGTGCCAACTTTTCAAACTGCTGGGGGTGCTCGACTCCGGCTCTGCCCCAGGTCCTGTCCCCACTCTATCCCTTTCCCCAAGGCCCCACCCCTGCCCTGTCTCTTCCTGCTCTCACTGCACCCCCCACCTCTTCCTACTCCACCCCTGCCCTGCCTCTTCCTGCCCAGTTCTGCCCCCTGCCCCCAAGTGTGCCGCATCCTCGCTCCTCCCCCCTGTCTCCCAGCCTCCTTGCACGACACAAAACAGCTGTTTGCAGTGGACAGGAGGCATGGAGAGGGAGGAGGGAGGCACTGATCAGCGGGGTCGCTGGCAAGCGGAAGGCGCCTCAGAGGCAGGAGCTGATGGGGGGCTGTCGGTGGGTGCTCTGCACCCACCATTTTTCCTCCATGGGTACTCCAGCCCCAGAGTTTCAGCTATATTCTTATATTTATACATTATGGGGCACATTGTCACTGCTATGTACTATGGATTAGGCAGTCAATTTCTAATATTCATAGGACCAATTTCTGTTCTGTTACACAGGTGTAAATATGGAATAACTCCATTGAAGTAAATGGACTCACTTGAGATCTACACTCTTCAGAGAGTAGAATTTTTCCCTTAGTGAGAGTTGTCCATCATATCTGTGGCACAAGGCATTTAATACACCTCTAACCTGCACTATTTTCTGGTCCAGTGTAACACAGTAATGTTTTCATGTACTAACAGCTTGTCTTCAGTCCAGGTCAACTACTGATTATTTCAGAAAATTAGCAACATTACATTTTGAAATTGATATCATCTGCTCTCAGATAATATGCACAGGTAGTCAGTCTATGCTCAGCCTATACTATCAGATTATGCACATGTATTCTAACGAAAAAGCAGCAGGAAATCATTGCAAAGTCATTTAAAAAAGAAGATGCTAAAGAAAAAAAAAGCTGTATGCAGAAAACAAAGTTTAAAAGTAATGCAAAAAGAAAAACAATAGTACAACTTGTAACTCAGGGGGATGGACAAGATGACCGAACAGGTCTTTTCCATTTCTAGATTCCATGATTCTATAACAATTCTATCGAAATAGGCAAGATTACCAGAACACAGTACAGATAGGTCAGCTTTTCCATACCTTATAAATGTTATATTCTGATGGTGAATGTCCTCTGGACTCTAAATTGCTTTAAGAGAAAAAAATCCTTCGCTTAATAGCAGAGAATTAAAATCAAAGGATATTTTTGAAGCCTACTTTAAAATGCTGTAGCCTTTTGTGATCCCTTTTGTCTCTCAAGAAGAAGAGTTAACTTACACTATTTCAAAAGTTGTGTGTAATCCTGTTTATATCATCAATGCCACTGAAGTACAAATAACAAATTAATTGGAATGAAATCAGGATGCCTTGCTTTCCATTAGGAAAAAAACATATCAAAGTTTGCCAATGGAAAACAGTAAACTTGGAAGGAAAATACATTTTATTTTACAGAGGATTATACATTTATGTATATAATTATTTCAAAGGATTACTAATGAATTAAATTAAAACCCAAACTATTATTATTTTTAAACTATCCAGTAGTTTTGTCTCAATTTCACTCCAGGCAGGGAAACATGCCACCCATCTCCTGCCAACAATTAATACTGACAACAAATAAAAAATATAATAAAACAGTGTTGAGGTAGACTGGGGATGGGGTTGCTCAAATAAATGGTAAGTTTATTCAGAATCTTCCACCTACAACTCACTAGTCCAGATCCATCTCAGTTATTACCATCTGACAACTCTAAGGTAGCCTTCATCCAGCTCCCAGTGGAGAAGTGTATGTTACACAAAACCATCAGCATGGTTGGCACACTTATTGACAGTGTCAGGAGAAAGGTAAGGGATGCAATAGACAAGAAAACCATTATCCATTGACTTCTATGGTCATTTCAGGGCAAAGATAACTTGCGCTAATGATGCCTATGTTTTACCATACAGAAGAACCCCAGAGTTACAAACATCAGAGTTATGAACTGATCAGTCAACCACACACCTCATTTGGAACCAGAAGTACACAATCAGGCAGCAGCAGAGACCCCCCGCCCCCCCAAAAAATCAACCCCCCCCAGCAAATACAGTAAAATGTGTGTTAAATGTAAACTACTAAAGAATAAAGGGAAAGCAGCATTTTTCTTTGGCAAAGTAAAGTTTCAAAGTTGTATTAAGTCAATGTTCAGTTGTAAAATTTTGAAAGAACAACCGTAACGTTTTATTCAGCGTTATGAACATTTCAGAGTTGTGAAGAGCCTCCATTCCCAAGGTGTTCATCACTCTGAGGTTCTACTGTACCTACTCTGTGGATAAAGAGAGAATTTCATCTTCAAGGTAGCCAATCTAGCAAACTTCACAAGTATCACATTTAGTTTAAGTATTATGGGCGGCTTTCATTCATCAGTTTAAGTAAAGAGTAACTCCAAAAATATTCCGTGAGTTACCCTGATATAAGACAGGTGTGAAAGGAGAAAGAGCCCTGTATCTATATGCTACTGAACATAATGGGCCTAATTTTGACCTTTCATTGGTTGTACAATGGTGTAACACTATTGACTTCCACTGACATGAGAATATATAATATATAATGTAATATACCATATTCTCATATCAGTGGATATCAAAGGAGTTACATTGATGGAGGTCAAAATCAGGCTGAGGGGACATACTGGCCGCCACTTCCAACAGCTCCCATTGGCATGGCCCATGGAACGATCGGCCGAACCTGCAGACGCGGCAGCTAAACAAACCAGCCCGGCCCAGCAGGGGCTTTCCCTACACAAGTGGCGGAACAAATCTGGGAACCACTGAGTTAGAGAATATGCTCTCTCTCTCTCTCACACACACACATACACACAAACACACACACTTTGATAATCTAGATATTTAAAGGGATATCTGAAATCTTCAGATAACTGGAGTTTCAGAAAAGGAAAATTTGGCTTGTATACAAATTTTGAATACTGGGGACAAATTTTTTTTGGTAGTGAGGATTTAGATAATCAGGGCTTACCTTTTTATATAATTGTTGACGGATTGTGAAGGGTTTGCATGAAGCAGTAATGTGACTGTAAGCACTCTGGAGTGCAAAAGTGTGTGCATGCACTAATCACCCCAGTAACACTTATCTGAGGCAGCCTTGCAGTGCACACATGCTACAGATGCTATTACTGCTGATGAATGCCACTCTTGCCAGTGCTTTTAAAATTATAAGCCTTTCGCCACTGACACTAAGCTGATGTACCTCCCATCCGTATCCTCTAGCATAGCTGAGGCTCTCCTAATACATGAGAAAGTGTAGCATATTTTGACTGTTTGATCAAAAATAAAAAGTAATTCGGGATGCCAGTGACAAAAAAGAAAATCAAGACTGCGCTTCTGGGTCAATCTTTGCAAGTTTCAGTTTCCTTTTCTTCTCCTCCCTCCACTCAACACTGTATTTGGTTGTCACTTTTTTAATTTTAGAATTCTATATCCAATTTTTATTTTTCATATACAAGCACACCATGGAGTGACTGAATATTGTTTTTGTATCTGCATATGAAACATTTTGGCAAATCACATTTCTTTTGAATTGCTGCAATTCAGGAATCACTTAACATTGCTTGCCTACTATCTATCCTGGCAGCATCCATCAAACACACATAATTACTTATTGCATTGTTCCTTTAGCTCAAAAATACTGAGGTTTTCAGAACAAATTATACATTTCCAAAACAAATTACATCTCTTTAAAACTTAAATTTCTTACCTAAACCATGCCTATGTGTTGACATTGGGGGTAAGACAGTCCAAGCCTTGTTTTTTGGATTGTAACATTCAACAGTGTTTAATGTCTTTAAACCATCCCGGCCTCCAATAACAAAGAGTTTGTCATCAATGACAGCCACACCAAACTGCAGCCTCCTGCCATTCATCACTCCAGCCTGGATCCATATATTTGTCCTGAGATCATACTTCTCTATAGTTGTAGCACCTGATGAGACATATTAATGGGATAATGTATTTACTGTATATGGCTTCATATACCCCGCCACCCCCAAAAGGTGAGAGCTTCACTTAGTTGTCAGCTTGTTTTGTGAGTCTTATCAAACTTTTTCTGTGTATTTAAAGCCATTCGTAAAATGAATGAGTGATTCATTTTTCTGTGTATTTAAAGCCATTCGTAAAATGAATGAGTGGTTCATGCTCATGAATGAGTGATTGATGCATCTTTTCCTGGAAGAGAAATAGGACCAAATGGCCACTCCAGAATTAGAGTATCATTAGTTGAATAACATTATGTACTAGCTTTATGATCTCTTTTACAGTTCAGTGGTATAACTCCTGAAGATCACTAACCTCATTACATTTGTTCAGTATCCTACATAAAAAAAAAACCTGTGAAATTAAGTGTTATTTTCATTAGAGATGGGAAGTTACTATTCATATCTGGGTCTATACTTCCTTAGGTTTTTTTAGTTCAGATCTATGTTTTGTTTGTTTCAGACCCAGTATGATACCACAGACTGTCACCTAGAGACTTAGAAGTAACAGAGTTAAAGTAGATTTATTTATACATCCAACAACGTTTCCTTCTGAATATGGTTATTTGTTTTACTTACACATCTGACACCAAAAGCTGTAAAGAGCAAAACATATAAAATAATTCGGAATCTTGTCATGATTAGCTGGTAAGTTAAGAAGCTTCTGCTGCTAAAAGTAACTTGCATATAACAAGGAAAGATGAGAAATGCAATAAACTTGGTTATAAGAAACACAGAGATAAAGAGACCATAATTAACTTAATCAAGTACAAGTCTAACAGAATAATGCATTCTATTAATTTAAATATGCATATAGGAAAGGTTAATCTAAATCCAGATCACAAATATCTAAATGACAGATGGTTTTAAAGTAATCCATAGGAAATACATATAATAATTAATATAATCTGTACACCTTCAGTGTTTTATTTTCATATACATTCACACATCTAACATTGCTTTATCTCTAATGATTAAGTATCCCTAGAGAGAAAATCAGCATCATTACCCTCTGCACTTAAGCTTCACTATCCTATTTTCTTTGGACTGTAATAAAAGGTTACAATTCTTTGGAAAACAATTCTTTCAGGATTCATTCATGCTTTGGAACAGAAGAAGCAATAAACAAAACAAAAACAAACATTGTGGAAGCAGTAGTTTTGTTAATTGAACTAAAACAGATGTGATTTAAATTCAATTTGTATCCAAGTTTAATAGAGCAATAATAATGTAGATGCTCAACTGGATATATTAAATCCCCTGTTAATTTTCTGAAGCTATAAGAAATATGAACTAATTTCCACATTCAATTAACTCAGGTTTTTTTTTTTCTTCTGCAGATCTTAATTTAAAACTGTGAGTTGCATAAATAAATTAATCTACAGAACAGAGAGAACTTTAATATAGTTGTTTGGTGATATTGCATGGTGTATTAACACACATTGCTGATGTTGTTACATTTCAGTGTTTGCATTACTAAGAAGCATTTTACATGCTGCAGGTATTGATTTTATAACTGGCATGGCACTCAAATGTACAGGTTTTCTATCTGGCAGTTAAAAATACAGTTGAGATATTTTGCAATTTTGATGGCAGATCATACCCAGTAAATATTTTTACACTATGGTCAGTTGCACAGTTTCCTATTTTCTAATATTGGCTGAGTTTTAAAGTTTGACACAATGTTTTATTTAAACTCTAATTTGAGTGTTTGATCCTGCTAGTGTTCCATGAATGGCTGACTGACAGTTTTTTTCCAGCAAATTCATATGGAAGCTAGCCAAAGGCCAGCCATAAGATCATCTGACTGAAGCTAATATCCTAAACCCAAAATAATCTGGAGTCAGGCCGTCCTCCTGGACCTCTCTGCAGCATTTGACATCACTGACCCAGAGACACTGGTGTCCCACCTGAGAGAGGTGGCAGTGGTCCAATAGAATGTATTAAAAATGGTTTGCATCCTTCCTGGAGAGACACACTCTCAGAGAAATGATGGGAAATTACATTTCTGCCAGTAGCCTGCTTCCTGTGGAGTCTCACAAGAACCAATTCTCTCTCTTATCCTGTTCAACATTGTCATGCAGTCACTAGGTGAACTGGTCAGATGACATGGTCGCAAGTGCCAGGAATATCCAAATGGCACAGTGCTCTTTCTATCCTTCACAATATATGTCCATACCACTACTATCAAGATGGTCGTGTGCTTGGATGAGGTCTACTCATAACTGGCTCTGTGGATGAGGGGAAAGCAGTGGATGTGTTGTTCCTTGACTTTAGCAAAGCTTTTGACACGGTCTCCCACAGTATTCTTGCCAGCAAGTTAAAGAAGTATGGGCTGGATGAATGGACTATAAGGTGGATAGAAAGCTGGCTAGATTGTCGGGCTCAATGGGTAGTGATCAATGGCTGCATGTCTAGTTGGCAGCCGGTATCAAGTGGAGTGCCCCAAGGGTCGGTCCTGGGGCCGGTTTTGTTCAATATCTTAATAAATGATCTGGAGGATGGTGAGGATTGCACCCTCAGCAAGTTTGCAGATGACACTAAACTGGGAGGAGAGGTAAATATGCTGGAGGGTAGGGATAGGATACAGAGGGCCCTAGACAAATTAGAGGATTGGGCCAAAAGAAATCTTATGAGGTTCAACAAGGACAAGTGCAGAGTCCTGCTCTTAGGACAGAAGAATCCCATGCACTGCTACAGACTAGGGACCGAATGGCTAGGCAGCAGTTCTGCAGAAGAGGACCTAGGGGTTACAGTGGACGAGAAGCTGGATATGAGTGAACAGTGTGCCATTGGTGCCAAGAAGGCCAATGTCATTTTGGGATATATAAGTAAGGGCATAGCGAGAAGATCGAGGGACGTGATTGTTCCCCTCTAGTCGACATTGGTGAGGCCTCATCTGGAGTACTGTGTCCAGTTTTGGGCCCCACACTACAAGAAGGATGTGGAAAAATTGGAAAACGTCCAGCGGAGGGCAACAAAAATGATTTGGAGACTGGAACACATGACTTATGAGCAGAGGCCGAGGGAACTGGGATTGTTTAGTCTGTGGAAGAGAAGAATGAGAGGGGATTTGATAGCTGCTTTCAACTACCTGAAAGGGGGTTCCAAGGAGGATGGATCTAGACTGTTCTCAGTGGTAGCAGATGACAGAACGAGGAGTAATGATCTCAAGTTGCAGTGGGGGAGGTTTAGGTTGGATATTAGGAAAACCTTTTTCACTAGGAGGGTGGTGAAACACTGGAATGCGTTACCTAGGGACGTGGTGGAATCTCCTTCCTTAGAAGTTTTTAAGGTTAGGCTTGACAAAGCCCTGGCTGGGATGATTTAGTTGGGGATTGGTCCTGCTTAGAGCAGGGGGTTGGACTAGATGACCTCCTGAGGTCCCTTCCAACCCTGATATTCTATGATTCTATGGTTGAAGTTGAACCTGAGTAAGACAGAGGTTTTGCTAGTAGACAGAGGAAAACTCTTTGTGCAACTCTACAGTGCAGTCTGCTCTAGTTGAAGGTACACACCTAATTGTCAATTCCGTCCATAATTTACGGATGCTCCTAGATTTCTCATTGACGTTAAGCTCCCACATTGTAGCATTTGTGAGTAATGCTTTCTGCCATGTTAGCAGTCTCTATCCCATCATAGCACACAATGTTGTGGTCTTCAGTATAAAACAGGGGTTGCGGCTTGTTCAGGGTAAGCCTCTGGCGGGCAACGAGACGCTTTGTTTACCTGAAAAAAGAAAAGGAGTACTTGTGGCACCTTAGAGACTAACCAATTTATTTGAGCATGAGCTTTCGTGAGCTACAGCTCACTTCATCCGATGAAGTGAGCTGTAGCTCACGAAAGCTCATGCTCAAATAAATTGGTTAGTCTCTAAGGTGCCACAAGTACTCCTTTTCTTTTTGTGAATACAGACTAACACGGCTGTTACTCTGAAACCTTTGTTTACCTGAGCATCCGCAGTTACGGCAGCTCACAGCTCCCAGTGACCATGGTTCACCATTCCAAGCCAATGGGAGTTTCTTCACTGACTTCCCATTTTAGAACATCAAGTCAAGTTCAAGGTCTCAATCCTTATTTTAAGGGCACTCAGTGGCCTGGGATCAGCATATCTAAGAAATCACCTAGCACCTCAGGTTGAAGACCGTGGTTGACAACTCTGCTCCTCTGCCACAATTTGGCACTTTGTATGATAAAGTTAAAGCTTAATTATGCAAGAGACAGAGCTTTCATGAGAGTGGGTCTGATACTGTGGAGTTAATTCCCCCAGGAACTAAGGATCATCACAAACATCACCACTTTCCATTCCAAGTAAAAGGTGAATTTCTTTGACCTTGATTTCTCTAACATAAAAAAAAAAAAACAAATGAACATTGGAGTGTGTACATATACCAAAACAAAACACTAAACTGAACACAGATTTTTTTCCACTGGGGAAAGGATGAGAGCAAGAATGAACCACATGTCATGGTGGTTGATGCACTACTGGAAAGGTTCTTAGATACTACAGTATCACCTCTCAGAAGCTCTGAATTCTGTGAAATTAAGGCCACCTCTCCACTACCAAACAGCAATGAGAAAATTATCTTAATCATTTCAGTCTGAATGAAAGTGGGGCAGACAGGAATGGGGCAGAAGAAACTGTTACTTAGGGCTTGGCTACACTTGCAAATTAGAGAGCATTAAAGCATCCCCAGGTGCCCTAACTCCCAATCCGTCCACACTGGTGTCACACCCCAATGGCCCCCTCCCTCAGTGATTAGCTGGGAGAGACAGATCAGCATTGTATATTGCTAAGGCTGTTGCAAGCTTCTCAAGGCATTTTGGGAAGGGTCAAAGGTGCAAGTGTGGAGTGAAAGATTCCGTTGCAGGCTGCAAGAAGCCAAAGGGGGAAGGAGAAAGAATGGGTTAACTCAACACTGCAGCTAGCAGGCTCAGTCCAAACATAAGA